TCGTCACGGTTTTACCATTCTAAGGACATATATCAATACATATTGCAATAATAATGATTTACGTGATATAGAATAAAATGTCTTTTATTATTGATTAATGAACATTATTACAAAGCATCAATTCTACAATAATTGATTGGCTCTAGGGCATCTACTCTAACAGAATCAACCCCTGCCCAGATGCATGATCACTTAAGCGATTTAATTTCTCACTTAAGTGATTGTTCGTTTTTACCCTTGGTCACTTAAGCGATTTTGGATCGTTTGAGCGATCAAATCCGAGGCAGAATCAAGATCTGCCCAGATGCACAATTGTTTAAGCGATTTATGGTCTCGTTTAAACGATTCTTCGCTTTTACCCTTGGTCGCTTAAGCGATTTGGGATCACTTAAGCAATCAAGTCCGAGGTAGAATCAATATCTACCCAGATACACGATTGCTTAAGCGATTAAGGTCTCGCTTAAGCGATTCTTCGCTTTTACCCTTGGATGCTTAAGCGATCTTAAATCGCTTAAGCGATTCTTCACTTTTGGCCTTGGTCGCTTAAGCAATCAAGGATCGCTTAAGCGACCAGGGATCGCTTAAGCGACCAAGGCCTTTTTTCTTCTTATCTTGCCGATCTTTTGATATTGTGCACGTTTAAGTGAAAAATTATATTATGTATTGTGGCTGAGTTTTATATTCAATCATAACCATCCATATTTGTGAAATGGGGTACATTTCTACTAACGTGCCACACTCATGACTAATTCAATAAATTGATTGATTGATTGATTGTCTTCATACGACAATGATGTTGATAATATTTATTTTGCTTGTCTTGCTTCTTTGGGCAGCTATCAGTGTTGTTCAGAGGTAACATGCGAAATTTTACTAACTTAAACTCTTTTTAAAATTGATGAAAATAAAAAATAATTAATTTGATTTAATACGTTATAAAGGATGATTTATTCGAGGTAACAATAAAATTGAAAACATAAAAAATTGAAAACAACAACTCTTCAACGGTTGGCCTTGGCAACTCTCTCAATTTCATCATTCTTCTTGATGACATAGCTGGAAATACAATGACATAAAATCAGTTTAATGCACCACAAAAGAGAAACATAATAACTTCATCAGATTGCTTGAGCGATTTTCGGTCGCTTAAGCGATCTGCTTGTCAGATCTGCATATAAGAAAAGATCGCTTAAGTGACTTTACATCGCTGAAGCGATCTGGTGGCCACTAGATCTAATCTGAGCAGTAGATTGCTTAAACGATCTGCTGTTCAGATCTGTAGATAATGATCTTATTTCGCTTAAGCAATCCGATCATATCTGCAAATTGCTTGCTTTCTTCCTACTAATCAATTCGAACCTAATTTTCTAGATCTGCATATGATCGATTCTAGCAACTGCTTTTCTTGTGGCCAGCTTGCTTGCAACTTGAGCACTTATTCATCCTCCGAAGAACCTCAGAGGCTGATGGAATACGCTTAACTTTTTTTCTCCCATTTTTTGTCTTCTTGAATGGCAAATGGATGATAATGTGAATCAACTCTGGCGGGATCACCCACTACTCTTCTGGAGGAACTAGATATATCGTTTTTGAATAAGCCAGCGTGTAGTGATTTGCCATATAAAAAGGGGAGCAAAGTTCCATGTAAATTATTGAACCAAAATCCGGCTTCTGTTGGTGTTTTAGTGTTGCTAGTGCATGAGGACAAGGTAAACGTTGAATGTCAAGCACTTTACAGCTACAAGTTTTACTAAGAACGTTAACTAAGGCATCCAGACCATAGCCGCGCACAGTGAACTCTTGAGCATTAAAAGGATAGGCAACTCTTGAGCATTAAGAAGATAGGCAAACAGTGCATTTGACAGTTCCATATGTTCTCGCAATAATTTTTTAGCTAATGGAATGAGGGTTGTGGTAAAATTATCTGACTCCGTACGATGCTCATAGAACTACCATGACAATGTTCTCTGGATTGCATCAAAAAGGGCAACTATTGGAAACTCTCTTTCTATTAACAACTTCGAATTTATGGATTTGGCTATGTTCGTGGTCATGACATCAAATCTTCTTCCAAGAAAGTACACTCTACTCCATCGCTCGAAACCAACATCATGCTCAAGATACTTAGCAATTCTATCATCCTTGATTCGGATTTTCTAGAAGTGCTCCTCGAACTCATCAACTCGATAAGCTTTTGTTATCATGTAGTATGTCTGAAGGAGGCCAGCACATTTAAACTTTGTTTTATGTTCTCACCAAGGTACCTCATACAGAATCTGTGATGTGCTTGAAGGTAAATAGTGGCAATCCCCTTCCTTATAGAGTTGTGCCTATTGGATATTATACACAACTCATCACTGTTAGGCACTATTGTACGTAATTGCTAAAAACCAAGTCCACGACTTGTCGTTCTCAGAGTCAACCACACACCATGCAAAGGGATATGTGTGATTCTCGATGTCCTATGCAGTGGCTACCAACAATGTACCTCCATACTTTCCTGTCAAAAAGCAACCATCAACAGCCAACACCTTTCTCATGTTTACAAAACCCTTTCTAGCAGAACCGTAAGCAACAAAAAAATATTTAAACCTCATATTCTTGTCCCACTTCAAAGCCGTCTTGCTACCTTGCTTTGTCAATTCAAGCATATAACGGTACGTTTTTAATACTGCATACCCGTGCGCACAAGTCTCTGAATGTCTTTAGGAGATTGACATTTCCCTTCAATGAACTTACTTTTGACAAATTGTCCAATAACATCAGCGGAGGCTTGCCGATGCTCACTTAAAATATGTCTCAAATCACGTGTGCTAAGAATATATTTTCCGGACTCCGCCAACCTTCTACAATAAACCCGCCATTTGCACTTTCGGCAACGATATGCAACCATCACAACCGATGAATTAGACTTTTTGGTGATGCACTCAAAATTACCTCTCAAGGCAATAAGCTTTAGCTTCCTCACCACTTCCTGTTTGTTGTCAAATAAATACCCTATGCGCAACTCATATCCATCTGTAAAAACATGAGCTGATTCACTACTACCTGCAATTACCCCCTTTGAACCTGCATAAAAGACCATAATATTTTCTTCCTCACAAACTACCCCTTCTGCATAATCTGTATATAAAGGAATCTCTACATCTGCGGGAACATATACGGGGTCCTCCTCCTCAACATTTTTATTCTACCACACATAACAAACCTCTTCTACAGTGTCCTCCTCACCACCTACTCTTGATTTTTCAACTAAGAAATCAATGCTCTCGTAGTTTAAATTAAAACCAGCATTCTCTTCGCCGACTTCCTTGTTATCCCCTTCCTTTGAACCAACTTCCAACGGTTTATCTACAAAAGAAACCTTTAAAATCGGCCTTGAACCATTATCACCCACATCAATCATATATAACTTCACACCTTCATCCGACTTTAATATAGTAGGAGATACCTTATAATGTTCAGGAACTCTGCTTAAAACATACTTCACAACGATATCACTACGTGAGCAACTCAAATCACCTCTTCTAATTATTTCATCAATCAACTCATCAAAACTAACCTCTATGCTCACAACAATTGGTATAACTTCTTTGCTCTTCCCAATCCACTTCCAACAACTTTCTTCCTCCACCCACTCACTAAAATATTCAAAAAAGCATCTATAGAGTCGCTTGAGCGATCTAGTGTATCGTTTACTGGATCGCTTAAGTGATATAATGGATCACTTAAGCGATCTTCTACCATTTACCTGATCGCTTAAGCGATCTGCTGCCATACACTAGACTTATAGCAGATCGCTTAAGCGATCTTCTGTCATTTACCTGATCGCTTAAGTGATCTGCTGCTATATACCAGACTTATAGCAAATCGCTTAAGCGATCTTCTGTCATATACCTGATCGCTTAAGCGATCTATGATCTGCTGCATTATACTAGACATACTAGATCGCTTAAGCGATCCATCATATCTAGAACACATTTTTAGTCATCTCTACCTATAATCGGTGCTACCACGATCAGCTACCCATAATGCAAGAAAATATTCAACAAATTTGACTCCTTTCAACTGGCATTACATCAAACAAAACCCAACAACCTAAACAACTAAATCAAAATCATAACTCAAACTAATCCATCATTAAATCTTTGTAAATCGAAATATAAAATGGAAATGGGAGATATACATACCTAGACGAAATGTCAAAAGGAGATGAGAAGGAGGATCTGTGACAGAGAAGATGTTAATGACGGAGGAAGAAGATAGTGTTAATGGCGGGAAGAATGAGATGTACAGGAAAAAGGAAAAAGAAGATGTGCAGGAAGAAGATGTAGACGAAACTTAGAAGAAACAACAACCAGGGGAGGGATGCGTTTATGGCGGGAGGAAAAAGAAAAAGGAATTTGGGTTTGCTTGCAAGAAATTTCACTCTTTGGGGACATATTATAATTTTTAAAAGATTACTCAATACTTCATTAGTCTTAATTAATCACTAATCATGTTTAATTAATCTTAATCAATAATAAAACTATTTACTTAACACTTTCAAACTACATGGTCTTTTAAATAAATTTGAACTTGATTTACCCTTTTAATAAAATGTCCCGTAAGAAATGTGAAAAACATAGCTTTCTCTTATCCACTGAAATTATATTTAACGAATTACATCATATTTATTCTTCTTACTCTCTAATATAACAAAAATTACCACACTCAATTCCTCAATCCCATCATCCAAAGGCAAATTTGCACTTTTTTTTTTAATTTATTATTAATTTGGTCCAAAAAGTTTACTGCAGTGATGGAAAAAAAATGTCTTCAGCAAATTTCCAATCTTCTCAATATTGTTTATAATTAGAGCATAGCCAAGAAAGATTCGTAAAACATACCAGCAGCCACATCAGTTGGGATTCAAGTTAGGATTCTAACTTTGTATATATAAAATCTGAAATATTTCCCTTTCAAGTTGCTTTCAAAAACTCTTCTTATGCTTCCCTTCTTCAAGCTAAATCTGGACCACTGGGAAGCAGATCATAGCCATTATGGTGTTGGCGTTTAGGTGAATTGTTTTTGACTGGGATGAACTTTATAACAACCGCAAGAGGCATGCTGATCGCTCCAATTACAACACTGAGTACCCATAGTTGCCAGCTTAGAGGTACAGTGCTGGCAAAAGTTCCCAGGAATTCAACTATGATAACTTGAAATGCCACTGTCACTACAATAATTCCGATGAACATCCAGCTACTGAAAATGCCCCTAAATACGTTTATCTTCTCCATCTCACGACTGTTTATTTCGTTAAACACCTGAAGAAAGGTATACAAAACTCATTAATGAAAATGGAACCATCATACATTGAAACATTGGTGTGTGAAGTAGCATATTGTACTCAAAACAGTTTCCTCTAAGAAGAAACAATATCAGGAAATTTTCAGATTAGTCAATATGGTGCAATTGCAGCAATCAAGCAAGAGGATATTAATTAGAGACAATAGGCTTAATTAGATATTTGCACCTGGCAGAACACGAACGAGTTGAATATCACAGTATTGAGTACATCAGTAGCATCAGAACCAGTAAGCCCCAGTAGCTTCGTCCCTTTGAAATAGAGAGCCAGAAGGATGATCAGTTGGTAAATACTCTGACCAATGATATTCCTCCACATAATGTTGGTGATAAAACTTTCACCCCTCCCCACCGGGGGTCTTTTCATTAGTCCATCATTTGGAGGTTCTGTAGCCAAAGCCAATGCTCCGAGAGTATCCATAATCATGTTGACCCAGAGCAACTGCACAGCCGTGAGAGGAGCAGATCCTGAAAGTCGGGTGGAAGATAATGTTGACAATGCATAATACTTGTAATGGTACTATATAAATAAATAAAAGGTTAGTTAACGAACCTGAGATGCATGCCGAGAAAAAATTGATGAAAAGTGCAACAACATTAACTGTTAGCTGGAACTGCACAAACTTTTGAATGTTTATGTATACTGCACGTCCCCATTTGGCCACATTTACAATAGTTGAAAAATTATCATCTAAGATGATAACATCAGCATTTTCCTTAGCTACCTGTAAATAACATCCATAAAGAGGCAACAAGTTTATGAATGATATGAAACCTGAAGACCATGAGATGAATGTAATACCTATTATGGCAGATTACCCTTATACAAGATCATATGTATAAAGAAAATCATCAGTTCTATTCATAGTTTATAAAGGTTTAGTAGCCTTAAAATACTTCTGGTAGACATTTGCCAAAACCGAAGGAAAATGAGTTCCTAGGCATGCACTTGAAGACCAAAATATGATTTGAGAAATTGATAGCGTACTTAAAAGAATTTAATAACAGTAATTACCAAATACCAATTATAATTGTTCAAGTTATTTCATAGAGCAAACGACATGTTCCCCTCAAGGTTTAGCGAAATCCCAAGTTGATACCCCTGGTTGTATTTATTCTAGTTCCTATCCTTAAACTAACACCATTTCCTTTATTCTAACAGTTGAAGGGTAAAAGCGTCAAAATAACCTCACATCTCAAATTTTTCTCAACTCACAACCATTGCCAATGCCGCCCGTTTTTCATGGATCCTAGCTGGATTTCTCACCCAAACTGATGGAAATCATCACCCTAAGCCTAATTCCTTTGCCCCCTAACCTGACCAACCGGTTTCTTGGCCAGATATGGTCTGTTTTTTCGCGAATTTTCCAATCGTGCGATCCACAACTCAAACCTGATTTGGCCTATTCTCGTGCCGTTGGCCTTCCCCGACCCCACCGCTGACATCCTCACCCTCCATTGACCAAAACCCCGAAGGTTCCCACCTGTCTCCTCCCACCGATCACCGACTTCCATTACGTTAGGGTTTCGGATTTCTCAGCCAAATTCCGGCCAATTCTGGTAGCCAAAACTCCCCCCGCCTCCACTCTTGGCATCAGCGGTGCCTTCTCTTCAAAACCCCCATAACCCCTCCTAGTAACTCGTTGATCGACGTCCACGATAGCACTGCCTGCAGCCGCATTTGGGTTGTTTTTCTTGTTGTTTTGGCTTTGATTTGACTAGATTTTGGTTTGATTTGAAGTTTGTTTGAGTTGTGGATTGATTCTACAAACCCCCTGGCCATTTTCCCGATTTTCGGACATCACCTCACCTACCCCCTGCACAACGCCCACCAACTGTTCAACCATTTGCCCCAACCAATCGCGCGAACACAAACCTAACGGCAACCAATGATTGGCTAGGGCAATGAGGTGGCCGATGGGGAATAAAGGAGTTTTGGTGTGGAGGGGATGGGGTAGCTAATGGTGGCAGCTGGGTACAATTGCGATGGAGTTAGGTCGGTTGGCCTAAAAGCAACAGTCTCAAGGAAGTGGTTTGGAATGGGTGGTTCAAGGGCATTTTGGTAATTGCAGCCACTGCATCTCCCAACAGTCACTAACCGCTAGTTTAAGAGTGAGAATCTAGAATAAATGCAACCAAGGGTATCAACTTATGATTTCACTAAAGCTCGGACGGGAATATGTCGTTTACTCTATTTCATATTATAACTTAATGAGAGCTCCTTTTACTAAAAAAACTGCTATACTACTGGCAGATAAGAGATCCTCTCATTCTGTGAATCATATCATGCAATTGATATTAGAATTGGGGAAAAAAATAAAATTGTAAATAAATGACTCCAAAAGGTGCTTACACTGATGATCACATAAATTTTAGAAAGAGAGTTGGGCACAGTAAGTGAGGAAGGGAGTATTTCTAGTTCATATTGGCCTTAAAATTAGTCAAAATAACAAATGAGGAACAGAAACAAAAAACAAAAAAAAAAATTAAAATTTAAAATTTAAATAATTGATTTGAATTCGTATACAGGAATTATTCAAGCTGTCCCCCGTTAACCTATGGATTTTGAAATAAAAACCATGAAGCTGCTTGGCCAAAAGCCAACCACATTCAGATACTACTGCATATTAAAAAAGTTTATACATCTTTTACTAGTAGGTAGAAAAAGAGATCACGAAGATCTTATACATATTGGAAAAAGAACTCAAACATGTTTGGTCAAATAAACACAAACAAGTTTTATAAAGGAAAACTAACCTCTGGTCCTGCTGCCCATAGCGAGTCCAATATCTGCTTCATGCAAAGCAGGAGCATCGTTAGGCATCACCAGTCACTGCAACAACATCTCTAATGTATTCCTTAATTGAGTTACCAAGGTGTGCTTGTCCAAAGGCAAAGAGCGAGCCATTACCTATATTTAGAATAACAGTTCATATGTGTTAGCATCTTCTTATGCATGTAATTAGATATATAACTGCTGCTGCCTAACATTAAGGAAAAAACCTGAAGTTTTGGTGATGCGCTTCATCTCATCAGGGGACATATTACGAAATTCTGGTCCTTCTACAGCTCACCATCTGATGTAAGTATACCGCATCCTTTGCTTTTGCTTTAGCTGTATTAATGTTGTCTCCAGTAACCATGCGAACAGTAATTCCAGCTGCTAAACAAGTTTGAACTGCTTCCTGACTTCGGGCGAACTGGATCCTAATTCCAACAACGTATTAATGTATAGCCACTTTCAGGGATGCTGTTTTCATCAGAAGATTCATTAGATCTTGAAAGCCAGGCAAAGAGTTCTGAGAGCCAGAGGAAAGCTGTTTATTACATCTGTGATATATCCTACTTGTTCTTCAGATAGAGTAACCGTTTCTCCACTTTCACAATCACTTTGTCACATCCCAAACTATTTCTGATGCACCCTTACAAATGCTCTCATTCTGCCCCCGGACGAGCCACAAGAACGACATCTTCTTCCTGACTGAATTAAAAGGCTCCACTTAATTATCTTATATTCTCTGCGTTGGGCATCAAAGTCGCCACCCAAAATCAAGCCAAATTCCAACAGTGCTGATTTGTTGGTGTTCCCAAATGGAAGTTTTCCTTCTTTATCCTTCACCACTTCAGAATAGTATTTTGAAATATAGCCTGCAAGAAGATGTTTAATACTCTCTGGATGTTTCTGATTGAAAAATGTCTTCATACTTGTTACTTTGAATCTTTTAATTTTAGGCTATCCATATCTTACGACTACCATATGGTTGTGGTTAATGTACCTGTTTTATCAGTGCAAATGCAGTTAGCAGAAACCATTGTCTCACAAGCAGAGAGATGTCTTACTAGTGCACGATCACATAGTTTCTCATTGCAAAGGCAAGGCTCAATGTAACTGCCAATGGCAATCCTTCAGGGACGGCAACAACAATTATAGTACTGAGACAGCAAAGTAGTTATAAGCGCAATGCATCAGTTGAAGACCAATCTGTGTTTTATGTTTAATTGCTTTCTCTACCAGAAACCTTCAGTCAATACCAAAAATGTAATCACAGCAAAAGTTAAACCGATTTACCAATAATTGTAGCAACGCCATTTAGCTTCACCTGTAATGGGGTCTCATCTGCCCACCCTCATCAGAGTTTCCATCAAATTCCCCCATTCAGTCCTCATACCAACTGTTGTCACCAGCATCTTTCCTGAACCATCTTGAACTTAGTTCCCGAAGAAGAAAAGGTCTCTCATCTATTCACAGGCTCACTTTCCCCTGACAAGCTTGATTCATCAATCACCAAAGATGTCCGGATATAAGAATCCCATCGGCTGGAACTTGGTCACCTATAGATAGATGAACAACATCGCCAACAACCAAATCATAAATGGAAATTTTTTGTCTCCGTTCATCCCTAGTGACCTGAATAATAATCTTTTTCTTTCCCATCTAAATCTCTAAATTGCAAGGACTGCTGTAGTCACTGATAGCAGTAACCATAACTACCAAGAGTATACAAAGTATGATCCCCAGTCATCATACAAACCCTTTGGCCACCCTTCTGTGGCAAGTCCTACACCTATAGATGCCACAGCACAAACCATTAGTAAATTAGTGTTAGTCTGAAGTGCATCCCACACAAACATAAAAATGTTCTGGAGGTTTTTCTGTATAATGGTTGATGCCATAGATCTTTTGCTGATAGGTATATCACTTTCATGAAAACCTTCATTTAGTGAGACAGAAACTTCTGAGCAATCCCTTCAACTCCATTATAGTGTTTCAGGCCTTAATATCATGACCACGAACAATAAACGCTAGTTCATCTGGGTCTATAGTAAAACGGCTTCTTAGCCTCACCTGAAAGCTTGTATTCAGTTCGTCCAGCAGCTGCACAAGAACAAAAATGAACTAAGAAAATGGGACCCAAGGGCATAAGACAAATTTTTGATGAAACTATGAGAAGTTAAAATCATACCATCAATGAACTGCAGAGCTGCTTTTTGAACATAAAGAGCTACTCGTATCTTCCTGGGTAAGATGAAACAAAGGTACAGAGACACGATAATGAGGTCAAAGAAATAAGTTACTAAATAGCCAATGGCTGTATGTGTTAAAAAGCTTGCCACTTAATTGCAGTATGTTAGATAAGCTTGACAAACGAGTTCATTCTAACCTCCATGCTAAATCTCATACAATCCACGTTATCCTTGTGTTCTAAGGTACCTAATTTAGGCTCGGGCTATAACTGATCTTCAAAGTGATCAAGCTTGTTCTTTTTCTAAGAAAAAAGATGCGTTCAAGCTGTTCACGATAAATTAAATATATAAATGCTACATCGTTACACCACTGACAGTATAATGTAACTGAAATTGACAGCTGAAAAACCAATAACGACTGGAATAACAAAAAGTCTTGATTTAGCTTATCCTTCACGAGCTCATCGATCAATTTTAGACAGAGGGGTTATGTTTTCACAACTATTAAAAAATCCAGTAATCAATTGTTATTTCAGAATACAAGGAGTTGGAATATGCACATTTATAACATCATGAGAAACACACAGTCGGCCTTGATAAGTTAGAGGTGAGTGTCTACCAATTAAATCAACATTCTTGGGGTCACGAGAGATCACAGAGAGTAAAATAAAAGTTACGTACATAACTTTCTTCGAGCAAAAGATATATAATCGCATTATCACCAACACAAAGTGGAAGAAAGTAGCTAATCCACTCAAAAATGAATGTTTTCTGTGTTCACTAATATGATATTATCTTAAAGAAAATTACATAAAAACTTATATCATTTACAGTCCTTTTCAATGAATTTTTAAAACGAAAGTAATTCAATGTATTATCTTAACTATCAAAAATGGGAGGTTGAAAATCAGCATTTCTGACAACACTTATTAACCAAATTAATCAAAATATGACATAAAATATTTTATTACAATAATAATCAACTGAAACCTGTTTGAAAGACATTAAATCAATATATTCCATAAATCATGGTCAAAACATTTTCTAATAATGGTTTGCTTAGGTGACCATTGAAATGATCCCATTAGCCAACATAATGAAGTGCGAGAAGGGCACCATTAAAATAAGTGAAGGGTGATGAGAATGTGCCAAGAAGATGAAATTTGTATTAATAATGCTATACCCATAAACTCTTTTTACTAACTTTCTTTCAAAAAATCAAATATAATTAATTAGCTCATAATGAGTCTCATATATCCAACAATGAGCCATACCTAACTAAAGTAATCAATTACCAGCTCCATTAACGTGTGAGAAAAAAAGTTGTGAGAAATTGTCAACTTTCCTTTCTTCTATTGTATATATAAAAAATAAAAAATGGAACAAACACTACAACAGGACAAAGAACCTCATGTACCCATATGGGACGGAAAGTGACCTCACTATCAAAGTAGACAAAGGTGTCCCATTAACTGACCCGGTTAAGCTGAGGAAATTTCAAGGAAGGTTCGTGGGTAGCCGCCATTGGGAATTAAAAAGTCAAGAATGTGAATTAATAATCCCGCCGTGCCAAACAAGATATGCCTATTTTTTCCAAGTCTACCTGACAAGAACATGCGATCGTCTGGTTACCATACACAGAGTAGGGTAGCTCTTGCAACCAATTGCTTCTTAAATTCAAACTATGTATCAGTTTAATATATATAGAATCCCTTGACCATGAAAACTCAGAGACCGAAATTCCGGTAGAGATTGACGCCTAGAACTCCCCATTAAAAGTGCTACGTTTCTTTTCCATCAAAATATTGGCAATTAATAATCTTTCAAGATTAACTATGAAGGCTGCACGGTAATGGAGACTAAGTAGTCCAATTCCTTGTTACAACCATAAATAGAGACGAAACCGGAGTGTACTTCTAGTAACGTAATCGAGTTGCGATTGATATATAGATATGTATGAGGGTGGATAATACACATATCATTATAAAATACTCACCACAAAATATGATAAAACTGGAAACAAACTTGTCGAATTTTTAAATGTTTCAAGCCACCCAACTTTGTATTATTAACAAGCATTTGTTGTTATTTTTATATCTAATTATACTACATATGAGAATATAACATTATTGAGACCAACTTTTCATGGCATAGTGTGTAAATCTTATTATAAATTTTACAGTGACTATTTATATCTAACTCTCAGTAGAAAAGTATTAAATATCTTAATAGAATTTTTTATTTTTTTTAAGGGTTTCATATCATTTCATATTTATCATATAACGGTTATTTATAAAGAGAAACAAAAAAGCCTTATGCTTAAAAAAATAAGCAAGATTATTCATACCAAAAAAAAAAAAAATGCCCATTTTCTCATACTTAATATATATAGTTTAAAACTTTATAAATAATTTACTAAAATTTGTAAAGCTTTAATAAATTTCTAGTTTAAATTTCGAAAATATGTAAAACAATTATTTAAATGTTTTATAATATAAACAGAGAACAGTCTTAACTTGCCGCGAAATGAAATGGGACGAGTGGTTAAAACTTAAAACAAAGTGGACTTTTTTAGGACAAAGAACCGAGTCACCGATTTCTTGCAAAGTGGCAGCAGCTTATTGGACAGCCAGCACGTGATCTACGAGGGGACTTTAAAAGACAGAAAATCTAACCATATATTTATGCACAAACTCCGGGGATGGCGATTATTTCTACGTTTACAATTTAGAAGAATGTCAAAGAATTCGAACGGCCAACTAAGGGACGTGTATTTATGCACCAACAAACAAAAAACAAACCTCTGTTTGTTTGGCGAAAATACCGATAAGAGAAATAATTTATGCTAAGGTAAACTGGTAAAGTTTGCTTTGGTCTTTAGAAAAAAAAAAAGAAAAAAAATAAAAAAAAATAAAAATAAAAATTTAAAAAAAAAATATTTTTTATATAAGATTAGAAAATAGGTTTAATAAAAACGACAAACTAATTAATGCGCATTTAATTAGAGAAACATGAGGTAGAGAGAGATCAGCCTGCTTTCTGACTGTTCCGTATTTTTCCGTTTGGTTGCCGAGAAAATTAAGGAAAGAAAAAAAGATTATGCTAAATGGTGGTGTAGTCTGCAGTGTTGAAAAATATAAAGTGAGATAAATAAAAAAAATAAAAATAAAGGTAGAAGTAAAGAGAACCTGTATACTGCGTTTTTTCTTCTCGGCCTCAGCACGTTTGACGAGATCCGCGACGTTACGGAACCTTCTACGGCGGTTCTTCACGATAGAGACCAAAGATCTCCACCGTCTCAAGGCTTCCTCTGAGGGATTCTTAGGCTCCAAATCAAAGTCTTTCAAAAGACCGTCCATATTTTTGAATATTCTGCTCCCTCTTGAGCTTGTTTTTAAGCTAAACGGAGTTCTTCCCGCAGTTTCTTTTCGTCTAAACTATTAGGCCAAATCGATAATAAGAAAAAAAGCGAGTCAAGAATGGCAGAGGACCACAGGACGCAGAGGTTAGTGAATAAGCGCTAGCGTTTGCTCCGTCACTGTGAGAGAGAGTGTTCCGTAATGTGCAGCCATTTATCCTTCTACAGCCATTTGACTTGTTAACTATTTGGTTCGTGGCCCAATGAACCGCACCGAAGAAAGAAAAAAAAAAAAACCTTTATTATAACGAAGAGTAAACAACCTTTTCCCCCCCAAATAATGGTTTAATTACCTTTTCACCCACAAACTTTTAAAATACAATTTTATCATCCTAGTTTATATTTCGTTTCCGATTATGGCATCGTTGTGATCTCACACAACCACCATTCTCTTCCCCAATCATCATTCACCCAAACCTCTCAAACTTTATTCCTATCAACCCCACCAATCGCCAACAATCTAGCAATTAGGGTTTGCACAACTGTCTCTCCCAAGTCAAATTCCAATCAATCACAATCACCAAAATCCAGTATTTTACCACCAAAAGACTCATTGGCCTCCTCTCTTCAAAAATCTGAACAATCTCGACCAAGTTTGCTCTCTGTTCGTCATGAGAATATAAATTAGGGTAATAAAATAGTATTTTAAAAGTCTATAAGTGGAAAAATGTCATTAAGTCATTATTTGAATAGAAAAAAAGTAATAAACACTTATGATAAATGTCTTTTTTTATGTCGTGGGGATATCCATATGCCATCAACATATAACATTAAGTGTAATATTAGGCCACAACCCAATTTTACAACTTTCTCTCACAACTCTTATGTTAAGTCATTATTTGGATAGATAAAAGTAGTAAACTCTTATGATAAATGTCTTTTTTTTAGTCATAGTGATATCCATATGTCATCAACATATAACATTAACAGTAATATTAGGTCAACATCCTAATTTTACAACTTTTTCTCATAATTCTCGATGTAATACATCGCAATTAGTCAACTTGCAAATGGGTCAGGCCTGCTTGCTATAGGTTTCGTTATCCATTTACGAGTTAACAAATTACGAGCTATCACGTCAGAAGTTATGAGAAAAAATTATGAGATTAGGTTGCAGACTTAAAATTACTGAACATTAACATCAAACGACAACGAACGAAAGACATATGTAGTATCAAAATTGAAGGGTTCAAATTTTTTAAAATAAATAATTAAATGATTTCACACTATATCCATTGTTGTACCGTACTCTTTGTGAGGTTGTTATCTTCTCCGTATTATGTTTTAAGGGAGAAAAACTTTATTTTCAATTAACTGGTCTGAATCCTATATTTTAAAATACTAAGATTTATTTCTCTAAAAATTGATAAATATTTACATAATTTATTAATTAGGATAATATTTCTATTTAAAAATCAAAATACTCCTTATTTTGATATTGTTAGAAGTATTAATTAATTAAATAATAATATAATATAAAATATAAAACTTTATTACCTTTTCTTAATTCAAGGGGATTATATCTTAGTATTTTAAATCTCAAGACTCAGACTAGGAGACCTAAACCGTATTAACTCTTTTATCAAGATCTAAATTAGGTACATTATTTAAAATTGATTTTTTTTTTAAATTGGTATTTTATTAATGTTCATATATTAATTTTGACATTATAGAAGAAATACTATTCCTAGTCGCACCCTATCAACTAGGCTTGATAATGTTACTAAAAGAAATCTCTTTCTATTTTTAATGTTTAATATCTTATGGTATATATTGATTTACAATAAAATAAAATTATATATATAATTTTAATGTAGAAATGTGATGATTACTGTGTTTATAAATCAAATAATTTAGGGCATTTATGAGAGTTGTTACTATTTGAAGAAGTTTTTTTTGGAAGTTAAACTACAATAGATATCACAAGTTCAATATTTTAAGAATTATGATACTGCTCTTTTATTAACACGTCATTTGTCTATATTTATTAAGCATTTAATAAGTTGATTTTTTATACTCATTCAATTATGACATATTAGTTTGTATAAATGAAAAGTTTGTATAATTTTTTTTATATTTATTATTATTATTCATATTTTAATATATCACTTTATATTATCAGTAAAACTCTCTTTAACAATGCCGAATTTTGGGGAACATTATAGGCTTTGATTGGTTGGTTTTTGGGAATACTACTTTTAGTATTTCTAAAAAAGTTAAACAGTAAAATACCTAAAAATTCACAATATTATTCAATTTTTTTAAACCCCTTAAATTTGTTAATTTAATTAAATACCCCTAAATATTTTTTTAAAAATTGTAAAATCACCCTAACAATCCACATTTACCAGATTCCGGCCACCACTGCTGGAAAATAGACAGAATCTAGTAGGATGGCGCACTATCGGCTGAATCTGGCCGGTAGTGCACCGATCTAGCATTTTTCGGCCAGATCTATGGTGGATCTGGCCGGAAAAGGCCAGATCTTAGGCCAAAGATCTGGCCGTTGACGGGACCAATCGGTAACGACGGCCAACAAATGGTCGTCGTTGACCATCAATGACGACCGTTTGTTGGTCATATTTGACGAGCAAATACGACCAGATCTAGCCGTCAATGGCCAGATCTAGCCGTAGATCTAGCCTTTGCCGGCCAAATCCACCGTGGATCTAGTCGGAAAAGGCCATATCGACGCACGACTAGCAAGATCCAGCCGGTCATGCGCCGATACGGTGACTCTGGCCACCCTCCGACGATGATGGCCGGCTGTCCATATTTGAGGGTGGGTTGGGGGTGTTTTTGTTAACTTTTAATGTTTTATTATAGGGGGTGTTTTGTAAAAAAACATAGGGGGTATTTTATTAATTTATAAATCTTACATCGTATGCCCGCCCAATTCAACTTTTTTTTAACTTTTTTCAAAAAAAATTTCCCAAAAACACAAAATTGTGAACCAAACGGAGCCATAAATTTTTATTGTTGGGGGTGTTTAGCTAAATTAACAAACCTATGGGATTAAAAAAAATATTTTGTGTTGAATATAATATAATTAGATTTTAAGAATATTGAAACAAATATGTATTTTAAGTAGAATAGGAATAAGATAGGATATGAATAGTCTACTAAACACACCCTAGGTGTAATGAGTTAGGATTTGAGTGTATTGAGTTAGGGGTTTAAAGTTAAGTTCAAGACTATTGTGGGTATAAGGGTGTTTGTGGTGCATTGAGTTTTGTGACAATTAAATATAAGTGTCAATGGCTTCGTTTGTTTCAACTTTCATAATACTACTTTTAGTATTCCCAAAAAAGTTAAACAGTAAAATACCCAAAAACTTTGATTTTTTGGGAATACTACTCTCAATATTATTCAACTTTTTTTAAACCCTTTAAATTTGATAATTTAATTAAATACCCCTAAATATTTTTTTAAAAATTATAAAAACACCCCAGTAATTTATATTTACCAGATTCCGGCCACCACTGCCGAAAAGTGGTCGGAATCTGTTAGAATGGCGCACTATCGGCTGAATCTGGCCGGTAGTGCGCCGATCTAGCCTTTTCCGATCAGATCCACAGTGGATCTGGCCGAAAAAGGCCAGATCTAAGGCCAAAGATCTGGCCGTTGACGGTCAGATCTTTGGCCGTAATAGTTTATAACGACGGCCAACAAACGGTCGTCGTTAACCATCGTTGATGGTCGTTGTTGACGAGCAAATACGACCAGATCTGGCCGTTGACAGCCAGATCTGGCCGTAGATCTGGCCTTTGTCGGCCAGATCCACTGGCCACCGTGGATCTGGCCGGCAAAGGCCATATCAGCGCACGACCGGCAAGATCCAGCCGGTCATGCGCCAATACGGTGAACCCGGCCACCCTCCGGCGGTGGTGGCCGGCTGTCCGTATTTGACATTGGGTTGGGGGTGTTTTTGTTAACTTTTAAGATTTTATTATGGGGGTATTTTGTAAATAAATAAATATAGGGGGTATTTTATTAATTTATAAATCCTACATCGTAATACCCGCCCAATTCAACTTTTTTTTAACTTTTTTCAGAAAACTTTTCCCAAAAACACCCAATTGTGAACCAAACGAAGCCAATGTGTGTCATGTGTATTGGATTCGCTCTGGTTGCAAGGTGTATTTAATACAGGATGTTATTTGGATTAGTTGATCTTTATCCGGATCAAAAACTTTTTTAGAAAAGTAAATTTACAAATTTACCCTTCAATAAAATAAATATATTTTTGTCTCTTAAACCCTGCCTTTTGGAGGGAAAACAATTCCCTCCATTGATATTATGGAAAGATGAGAGAGAAGTAATAATTATTTCAATATTTCCAAGATAGAAGTTGGAAAGTTGAAATTAATTTATTGTAATTAATTTTTTTTTTTTAGAAAAAACAAAAACAAAAACAAAACATATAAACTCTTTCCTTAAGATTATATCAGCTACATTTAAGGGCATAGCTAGAAACTCATTCTAAGGGGTCAAGACATTAACTAAATTTAATAATATAATTGTAAATAAACTTATAATAAATAATATATTGGATATAAGTTATATAAAAATATGAGTATTTATTTATAATTCTCTTTATAATTAATATATTTATGATTATGTTTGACGATATGGAATAAATTTATAATACTTTGACGAGTGTAAAACAAAACCAAGAAAATTTACTAATGAACAAGTTATTAAGTCAACACAAATAACAACACCTCCAAATTAAACTATAATAAAATTTCTACTCATAAAATATTCAAAGATTTATCTAGCTTTTATAGTAAAATATTATTACTTTTGTTGTAATTTCTCTTTTATGTTTCAACCCCTTAAAATACATATTTTTAATATTTATCTTTTTTTTCATAATTTCAATATTTTGATATGATTTATCTGTGGGTAGTCTAGATGGTTAGAATGAATTGGGGATAG